CTGAGCAAGTTACAGGACAGGCTCCAAAGCTACACAGAGAAACCCTGTCTTGAAAAATAAAATGAAACAAAACAAGCAAACAAACAAACTCCTGTCCAGCTGTGCGGTGGCACACACCTTTAATCCCAGCACTTGGGAAGCAGAGGCAAGCAGATCTCCCAAGTTCAAGGTCAGCCTGGTCAACATAGTGAGTTCCAGGACAGCCAGAGCTACATAGTGAGTTCCTGTCCTAAAAAATATTTAAAGAGAGAGAGAGAAGGGAGGGAGGGAGGGAGTAAGATGGTTTCTGAGTCCCTCCCAGTGGTGAAATACCTTGACCTCATCAAGTCTCATCCTACCCTACCTAAGAATACATCCTCAAAACAAGACCTGGTTCCCTCTGTCTTTTGTTCTTGAGTTGCTCTGTCACTGGCTGCAGCTAAATTCAAGTTCCACACCCTCACTCTCTCAGTCTTCCTGGCCCACTCAATTCAGCCACCTGCCTCCGCTGTCCCTCCTCCAGCCGCTGTCTAGCCCAGTGAGGTCCAGGTCTTCTCGCCAGGGTCCCCTCAGCCTCTGTGGCCGTCCCTTAGTGTTCCCTGGGCTTCGTCCTAGAGTCCTGCACGTGCCGGCCAGTTGCAGCACCACCGAACTGCATCTGACTGTGCCTGGGAGCCCTGATTATGAACTTTGCAGCTACATGGACCTAAGTTTAAGCCCAGGTCTTGCTTCATAACTCCATAAGCTTTGAGAAATGAAGGTCGCCCGGCGGTGGTGGCTCAGGCCTTTAGTCCCAGCACTTGGGGGGCAGAAGCAGATGGATCACCACAGAGAAACCCTGTCTTGAAAAACAAAAAGAAAAGAGAGAAAGAAAAAGAAAGAAAGAAAGAAAGAAAGAAAGAAAGAAAGAAAGAAAGAAAGAAAGAGGAAAAAAGAGAAAAGAAAATGAAGGTCGTGGTAGTTCCATCAGGAAATGAAAGGCACCAAACTGCCATGTGTGAGGTGTTCAGCACACTGTCTCAACACACTTAGACTGGCTTTTTCTTGTCTTACAACCTCTATCCATGTCTCTGGTATAAGTGGCGGGTGATGAACAACTGAGGACATAGCTCAATCCTTAGAGTGTTTGCCTAGCATGTGCAAAGCCACAGGTTCAAGCCCCAGCACTGTCCAATCCAGGAGTGCTGGTGTACACCTGCAATCCCAGCCTTTAAAAGGTGGGCATTCTGGGTATCCTCAGCTACATAGCAGGTTTGAGGCCAGCCAAGGATTTCTGAGATGAGACTCTGTCTCAAAATAAAATGTTAAAAAAATAAAAGGTGGTTAAGGACGCTAAGGGTCACTGTCACTCTTGTCCCAGGTCCTCTTGAGGCTGTCTCCAGTCTCCAGGAAGAAAAGGGACAGTCGAACCTTTGAGATCCCTCAAAGGCTGGAGTGTGGGGGATCCTGGAACAGCTTCCTTCTCCCTGGGTAAGGCCTGAGAGCTACAGGGGTTCCCAGAGAGCCACTGGAATGAGAGCAGCGGGTTTGGGGCGGCTGCCCAAAGGAGAAGAGCAGTCTGCCTGGGCTGGGTCTGAGATGAAGCAAGATGAACTTCCTGTACAAGTACCACAGCACTTCCTGGTCCCAACCCTTCAGAACCATGTCATCCTAGTAGAGAGATCCCTGAGGCCTGCAAGCCTGTAGATCACAGGTGCTCCACCAGGCCCACAGGTGCTCCACAAGGCCCATGGGTGCTCCACCAGGGCCACGGGTGCTCCACCAGGTCCAGGGAGCTGGTTCTTCCTCACCCCTCTATTGCTGGTCCAGTCAACAGACCCTCTTCTATGCCTCGGACTCTGTAAATGCATGGAGTTCAGCCATTGCTGCTCTCTCTGTCTGTCTGTCTGTCTGTCTGTCTATCTCTGCAGCCTGTGAGCCAGGCTTCGAGGCAGAAGGGTCAAATATGAATACATGAGGGAACCAGGGTTGGGACCCCAATCTAGAGCCTCAAGACCTAGTCCTTATTATTTATTTATTTATTTATTTAGAGACACTATGTAGCTTTGGCTGGCCTGGAGCTTGATATATAGCAATCCAACTGACTGACGGCATCACCACGCCTGGCTCCAATAATATTTTTGTTCGTTTGAGACAAGGGCTCACTAAGTAGCCCTGGCTGGCCTTGAACTCTTAGTATTTAAATAAATTAATTAACACTCAAGGCCTGTTCTTATTCCCTTCATCATTCATTCTGTCCCCTGGACAGACCCAATCTATGGTGTAGGCTGCAGACTGGGGACCAGGCCCGAGTGGCTCTACCAGCAACGGTCCCTGTCTGTCACATGCCCAGGTTGTCACATGTCAACCTCCCCCTACCTGAAGCTTCCAAAACAAGATCTGGGCCCTTCACCCACCCATCTTGGCCCTCAAGTTTTTCAAGGAAAACTTGAGGAGAGAGTTGCCTAAGAGCAGAAAACGCTACATGGAGAAGGGCCCCTAGTGTGGAGTTTCTAAAGAGGAGTAGACCTCTCTCTCTCATGAGGGTAAATGGGACCTCAGGTGTGGCATAAGGACAGAAAAGGTGTTAGCCAAGACCCCTTGGCTGGGTGGAAGCCAAAGTGGCAGGCCATAGCTGTGGCACTGGGGTAGGGATGCCATAGGCAACTCTAAAGAGGGGCACGGGCAAGTCCCAATGCGAGAAGAAAACAGCAACTTCCGTCAGGAGCCTGTCTAACGGGGGAGACCGTCTCTGTTCTTCTGAAGTTCCCAACAGGAGGGCCACCAGTTTGAAGACAGAAATAGCTCCTGACCCATGGGGGTAGACAGGAAATCCAAAGCCAGCTCGGCTGGCCAGACACCTTGTAGCGGAGCTGAGAGGGCTCAAGATGGGTGACGGAACCTTCCCTTGGGAAGTGAGACAGAGTCATAGGACAGTCAAGACATCCAAATGGGTCCACACAGAACCAGGGACCCAAAAGATAAGTGATTTGGGAGCCAAAGAGTCATACAATTGAACCCAAACTGGTTTAGGGTGCCACCAGAAAAAACAATGTCAATCAGAGCCAGGAAAGATTCCCCAGGAGAAGCAAAGGTATCGGAGTCAGAAACTACAGTGACTCAACCTTGGATTCAGACTCCCTGTGTGGGCCTAGATGGATGGACAGACGGAGATATCAGCCTCAGGGCCCTCCACTGTGGAAAAGCCCCACCTAGCCTGTCTGAAGTCTTACCGTGTCAGGGTCTGCCAGTGTGCCATGGTACCTGACATATGGTGGGGTGGACCATCACTCTCCGCTCTGGCATACCAAGTGGCTTGGAAGTATAGGAATCAGATGTACCAGTCCCCACTGAACCTGCAGGGAGGCAGAGGTGGGGACAGGCTTAACCAGTGAGGAATGGGACTCTTGCCTATGACACACACCCCTCATTAGCAGCTGGGGGACTTAGAGTTCTGTAAAACGGGGCGCACAATCTTGCCATCCCAGAAACCTGAGTTTCAAGGGGAAACCACATGGTAAGGCCCTCTTCCCAAAAGCCCCTTCACCCAAGCATCCTGGAGATTTTCAAGATGTTTCCAGAGGGAAGGAAGAATTTGCTCAGTTTTGCTAAGCATCTGGGGCTGGAGTGGCAGGTGGTTGAGGAGGGGGAAGTCACCTCATTCCCAGCATTGATGTCAGTGCCTCCTGGGAAATCGCCTTCTCACCTCTCCTGGGCCTAAAATAGAGCTGGGGGTGGGGGGTGCTGTCACAAGCTAGAGGCAGCTCCCCAGTCCCCAGCAGAGGCCCTGAAGGAGCAGAGGACGCAGGAAGGGGTTTCCTGTCTCCACTCTTATTCCTTAGCGACCTGTGGTTCCCAAGGATTGGTATAAAAATGCCCACGGTCTTCGGAAGTCACGATGGGGCCTAGCGGTGGCCACACAACCATGCGTACTCAGTCCCCAGGCCAGGCATCACCAATCAGAGGCAGGGACCCGTGTCATGTCCCACGTGCTCCTGGACATCTCAGCCAGGTATTGAGTTCTTCCACCTCTCCGAGAGGTCAAAGATCCCAGCCCCTGACATTGCATCTCTCTTGCCCAAGAAACCCAAGAAGTGGGTTTAAAGGCTCAGCTGGGGCAGTGAGGCTTGGGGACATGGCTGAGAAGGTGGGTCACAAGTATTTTATAGCCAGAGCAGCCTAAGCGGACCAGAGACGTACATCTGGCGGCTCCAAGTAACTTCTGCTCCTTAAATAAGATCCCGACATAGGAAACAAAGGAAGCAGGCTGGTCTTATGTAAACGACCTGGGCAGTTTGTGTTTTGTTTAGGGGGAAGGATTGGAATGCCCCCACCTGAGGAACTCAGGGCCTCTTTGTCAAGAGAAGGCAGCCTGGGGAGCAGATTTAGGCAGGGAGTGGGAGAGCTGCAGTGAGCGCCTCTGCTATAGATGATCTAGGGGTCCTGGAGGAGGCACCGAGGTGTGTGTGTGTAGGAGTTCAAAGAGGACAACTGTCCCTCACGCCACAGAGCCCTCTCTTACCAAATGCTACAACCTTCTGTCAGCAGAGGCACTGGGGCTGGGGTACCCCATTCAAGAGTACTAAGCCCTGGAGGAGCGCCAGGATCATCAGCCACGCCCCACACCCAATTCCCCAGACGGGACTTCGCAGAGTTATTGCTCACGACCCTTTTCACCCGGCCAGCCTCCACCTGCCAATCCACGGGTTGCAGATCCTTAAGCGAAGAGGTGGTTGCGGAGGGGTCGCAGGATGGGGTGCACCTGCTGAGGGAGTGTCGGGAAGAAGGGTCCCCGGGCGGTGCCCCTTTTGTCCTACCGCAGCGGTGGCCCGGGCCCCGGCTGGGGGGCGGGGGGCGGGCCCAAAGCTCACGTGCTCGCCGCTCGCCTCTTAACCCGGCCCTGCGGCCCCGCCGGGATGGCCACAGCCAGAGCTCGCTGAGCCCCGCGCCACCCACCCGCGACCCCCGCCCGGCCCGCACGCCCGCCCCTCTCGCCGCCGGCGCTGCCCGCCCCCGCCCTCCTCCCTCCCTCTTTTCCTCCCTCCCTCCCCGCGCCGCTCGCAGCCGCAGCCCCCGGACCCGGAGGATTATGAGCGAACCATGAGGCGGCTGCGGCGCTGGGCGATCGCGGCTCTCCTGCTGCTGCCGCTGCTCCCCCCGCCCGGTAAGTGACCCTGACCGCCTGGTCCCTGCCCCCGCGCCCCTAGTCGGCCCGTGCCCCGGGCTTTTGCGGCGGTTTCTGCTGCAGCCACATTTTCCTGCAGTGTTCCGGGTGACAGCGGGTCCCGAGCGCGGGAGGGTAGGGGAGCGGGAGAGGAGAGAAGGTGCTTCCACCCACCTGTCCGGATCTTGCTGGCCCTACCGCTACCATCCCCCTGAAGCTGGCCGGCGGACTCTGCAAGTCTCTGCGGGTTTGGAGGTGGGGGGGCAGTCGTGACTGTTGGGCAGAATGAAGCTCTCGGCCCCCTCCCCGTGGGGCTCTTCCCTTGGCAAGGCAGCTAGATCCACCTACCCGTATGCCCACTGGGCTCCAAGGGCTGCGACCGAGTGGGGGCTGGGGCGTGCTCCCCCATCCCAAGTCTTTTGCCCCATGGAGGGCATCTGCCTGCAGCTATGGCCTTGTCTTCTCAGGTCTTGGGGCCCTGGGTCCCAGTGGAGCTCTGCATTGGAGGAGCTCAGCCCAGGTGGGGAGCCCAGAGAGGCCAGAGGGCCCCGAGGTCACAGAGCCCAGTCGGCTGGTAAGGGAGAGCACCGGGGGAGAGGTCCGAAAGCAGCAAGTGGACACCAGGGTCCGCCAGGATCCTCCCAGGGGGACGGTGAGTGGGGCTGTGTGGTGAGGTCAGGGAGCAGGAAAAGGCCTCCCAGTCCACCAAGTAGCCAGGGTTCGGTGCCACCCGCCGAGGCTGCAGCTTCTGCCGCCTCCCTTTCCGAGTAGTGGTCCATCAGGTAGGACTGCAGCCCCACAGTGGAGACGAGGGGACTCTCCAGCTCCAGGCCCCTCCAATCACTGTGGAAACCCCCTGCCCCGCGCACCCATAGACACTGGCATGCTCAGGTTTCAGTTTGCTTGGGGTCATCCTTCAACCAGTCCCCAGTGCCCACCAGAATCAGCGGTTCTGTCTAAAAAAGGTCTTGGGGGCAGGGTGGCACCATGAAGCTAACTGCCCAGTCAGGGACTCATGCTCCTAAGCCCCACCAAAGCCACCCTCAGTGGACTTTCTTGGAACAGTGTGATGCTTACTTCTGCCTCAGTTTCCCACTGGGCACACACAGGCTTAGCCTTCTTGTCCTAGCTGAAGGGGGGCCTTTCAAAAATGCCCCACGGCCCAGAATTCATCTGCAGATGCCAGCTCTACCTGTGCCCTGTCCCTTTCAAGCGGCTGGGCCCCTGCCTCCCAGAGGAAGGTTAGGAATGAAAGAGATTAAGTGCAATTAATAATTAATTAAGCTCATGCGAACAAAAATCACCCAGATGGAATATTCATTCAGCATGCCTGAGCTCTCCGGCAGCTTGAAGCTGAAAGTTAGCCAGGCCAACAGGGGCGGCAGAGGGCTGGAGAGTGGAGCCCGGCAGGAACAGGAGGTGGAGAGAGATTCAAAAGAGGGGCGAACCCAAGGAGGAGAAGTTGGGGCAGCTGGGAGTGGTGGGAGGTGAATTGGGCTGGGCAGAGGGAGGAGGGGAACCGATGAGACTGGCGTCTGGCCCTGCCTAATGTACTTGGTTAAAAGCCCTTAAGAAAGAGGGGGGGTGAGGGGGGTGCAGGGGTGGGGAGTAGTTGAGAGAAATGGACTGGAGCAGGAAGGAGCATGCATAATAGATGCACCATCGCTCAGGGCCCTGTCATGGAAGAGAGGGGAGGGGGCTAATGGTCCTGAGTTGGCAGCTGCTACAGGGGTAAGCGGGGAGTAGAGGCCAGCTTCGGTGCCCACTCCAGCACCCAGGGTGGGAAGCTGAGTGAACCTCAGGGATGTCCCAGGCCCAGGGTTAGGGTAACCTGGCCGCTGTCTGGTTCCTAGTGTAGCTTTCTATGAACTGAGCTCTCCCCAGTGGACTTGACCCTGCCTGACCCCTGGGACTCTGGCTTGAGCTTTTTACAGGATGTCCAAGTTGTGGGGTCGAGGTATAGCTGGGAAGCAATAGGTGATGAAAAGTGGGGGCTCCGGCTGGGTAGGCTGTGCCTCCAGCTAGTTCTTGTTAGCACAGCAGGCCAGGACTATGAGGAGAGATGGGGCAGGGCCATGGGGCTGGGCTGGGCGCCTTGGATGTGCTTCTGCTGGGTGAGTGGGTTAGCGTGTGTGTGAAGTTGGGTCTCTGCAGTCAACTGAATCCAACACGTTCGAAGTAGCTGAGGTGTGGGAGTGGAGAGTTCTGTGGTTGCTGTTCACCAGTGGAGGTTTCTCTAGGCCTGAGACCCTTTATAGGGACCTCATGCATCTGCCCCAGAGGAATTTCTTGGGGCCCTGGCATCTCCATCCCTCAGTTTCCAAAGTCTAGAAACTTGTTCAGGTGGGTAGGGGAAGTAAAAAGCCAAGGCCATGGCTCCTCTGGGCCAGGCTCTCTACTGAGTACTGCACACATATTAATTGCATTGTTTAGTTTCCATAGACAGATGCTTCTTTCTGCCCCTCTCTTCAGAAGAGCGAGCGCAGACTCAGGCTTGCCCAAAGTTGATAGACCTTAAACCGGTGATAGGAATGGTGTTCTCCAAGCCCAGGAATTTCCGAATTTGGGTCTGAGGGGCAACATCTCCAATTCTCCCAGGTTCAGGTTGGAAGGACGGAGGACACATGCATGTCCAAAAAGTCCCCTGACTGAACCAGGTCCTGGCAACCCCCTACATATGCGCGCACACGCACACATACACACACACACACACCTGGCACTGCTTCCCAGGGTCAGAAGTTCAGGACTGATAGAGTCAGGACTCAACAGGAGGTACCCTGCCTCTGCCCAGACCCTCTCCTGGGGGGTGGGGACTGCACTGCAGCCTGGGTTTTATCAGTACCATCCCCGGTGATGCAGAGTGAGGCCTGTGCTGGCCACAGGGAACCTGCTCTGGCTGGAGGCTCTCATGCCCCCTTTCTGAGTTTCATTGTCCTAATTCCTAAACTCAGGGTGATGATAACAAGAACTCCTGAAAACCCAGAAAGCCATGGTCTCAGGGGGCCTTCAGCTAAGGAGCAAGGGAGGAAGAAAAGAGGACCGTTGTGTGCGGTTGGGTTGGTTCACTGCTTAAGTGCGTCTGAGCGGAGGAAGCCAGCTGACTGAGTCCATAGCCCATAAAGCTGTTGCCTGGCCCTGAGAAACCCAGACTCCTTGGGGGACCAAAGGGAAGATAGGCTGTGGGCAGCAAGCAAAGTCAGGACTTGGGGTCCCAGGCCTGCTGATAACTCTCACCTGCACCAGGTGTCACTGGGAGAGCACACTGAAGAACTGCCAGAGCGGCCATTGCCGTGGTATGTCTTTGTTCAGGAGTTGAGGGCAAGTGACGCAGGCCCCCCAGACACAAGGCCATGCTGTGATTTGCTGCGTATGGCAGAGAAGCATTGTGGCTCTCTGATGGGGATAAAGTGGCTGGAAGTCGAGGACAGGGCATCTGGGGGTTATTACCTGTGCAGCTCCAGGTGGGGGTTGAAGAGGTGACCTCTGCAGTCCTCCCACAAGACTCTAGCCTGTGGGCCTGACCTTACCCAAGCACCCTCCCGGCTGCCTCGAGGAGCCCAGCTGTCCGGAGTCTGTCCCCAGAGGGACTGATGACCCTGTAAGGGGTGACTCCGTCCTCAAAAATTTAGGTCAAGCCCAGTCATCGGAAATCTGTGCACCTGTTCCTGTTTGTGGCCTGCCGCCCTGTTGATGAACGGGCCTTTCCACCTTTGCTGGTGGCTGCTGAGGCAGGGGGTTGCTGTTGGATGAGGGGCTCCTTCTCCATTTGCTGTCACCAGTCCCAAGAGGTGGTAGTGTCTCCAAGCTTCGAGAGTACAGTGAGACCCTCACAGGCAAATCACTCCAAGCAGATCCGGAACACTAAGCCACCATTCCTGTCCCCATCGCAGGAGGGAAACAAAGGAAGTATTTTACCCTCGAAGCCCCGTTCAGCTGTCAGGCTGCGGAGGTCCTCCATATTGCGATTACTGACCCTGACTGTAATGACGTGTTGAGTTGAGCTTCATACCATGCTTGTGACACCCCATTTTACCCATAGAGACACTGAGGATAGGGGTGAATGGCTCCTTAGGTCTTATACTGTCCATCCACCCCAATGAGTGCTGAGCACTTGGATGGGGGAAAAGGAAACAATAGCCCTTGCCCCAAAGGACTAAAGGTCATTAAAAGGTGAATTAGTGATTATGTATGTGTGTGTGTGCATGTGTGTGAGTGTATATGTGCATGTCTGTATGTGGTGTGTTTATGTGTTTGTGCACGTGTGTGTGTGTGTGTGTGTGTGTGTGTGTGTAAAAACTGGATACTTAGGTCAAGCAGTGGTGGTGTACACCTTTAATTCCAGCACTCAGGAGGCAGAGGCAGCGAATCTCTGTGAGTTCGAGGTCAACCCAGTCTACAGAGTGAGTTCCAGAACAGTCAGGACTGTTACACAGAGAAATCCTGTTTGAAAAATCAACAAAACGAACAAAAAAAGAAAGAAAAAGAAAAACTGGACACTTAGAGATTGAGATCTGTGAGTGGGTGAGCCTTCTGGGGACTGGCAGGCATTGGCTCTGCTGATGAGGAGCTAGAGGAGATGGGGTTCAGAGTACTGCGGGGCAGTACCTAGAGGCTGTGGGGAGCAGAACTCTGCAACTCAGATTTTCTGGAGCACCCTAGAATTCTGGTGGTCTTTAGCCACCCCCCCCCTTTCCTACCACGGAGATCGGAGGTCTGAGACAGAGACAGCTGTCTTCCTCTCTGTTCTATAACCTGCTGGGGGGGCACGGAGGAAGTGAGGCATTGGGCAGCCAGAAGCAGGTGCCTGGGACGCAGGGAGGACCTGCCAGGTCACCGCAGCTGGCATGCAGACACAGCCTCCAGCCCAGGAGTGAGACTTGGCCTGGCACCTCCCCAGCATGACCCTGGGCCTGTCACCATCTGGTGTTGCTCCCTGTGGACCTGCCAGCCCAGGCAGGGTGAGATCAAATGAACAGAGCACCTAAGCGCCACGGTCGCCAAGACGTAAGAGGCAAACGCGGGGCATGGGGTCATGTCCAGTCCAGAGCAGTCCTGAGCAGGAGAGGCTGGGGCATGGGGGTGCAGTTGCTGTGACCTCATGTCTGGAAGGCCCTGGGGACTGAAGGTAATGGGAGGAGGCAGGGCTGTGGCTGCTGCAGGGACAGTGGGCCAGCCTGGCACGGAGAACCACTGACTTTGGTAGAGCACTGGCCAAAAGCTTGACAGGGACTTGCAGGTCCTGGAGCCAGCAGCCCAGTGCCTGAGGTATTCTGGGCTTGCAGTATCAGGTGCTCCCTTTCGGGAGCGGACTGAGCTGGGCCAGGCCGACATGCCTTGGTGTCTGAATTCTCAGCTGGCTCCCACTGCCTGTACAGATCCCCCTCATGGCCGGTCTTGTCTCGGCTGAGCCCCATGTCCACTGCAGAAGGGTGGTGTGTCCCAGGGCTGAGCCTCACTGGCTGAAGGGTATTGGAGAAAGAGAACCTCTCACTGCTTTTCCTACAATGGGACCAGCATAGCCCTTGCAAAGCCAGCCTCCCAGCTCTGACCTGCACTCACCTTGCCTTCGTCAGAGGGAACATCTGGGGCTCAGGGGGGCTTCTGGGCCATTCCTAACAGGATCAAGGGAAGGGGCCTGGAAAGCAACTTCTCCAGGCTGGCAGGATAGAGACAGACAGACAAGCAGAAGCCGTCCAGAGATGCCCTGGCAGAGGTGCAGGAGCGAGGACCGGAGCCAAGACAGGCCTAGGAGAGGGGACAACAGACTTGGCCAGGTTAAGGGCTTGGGGGGGAGGCAGCAAGAACTCATTGCCCTTGGCTTTCTATTTTGAGTCTGATCGATGCTCAGGGGGCTTGGGGTGGAGCTTGGAACCTCAGATGGCCTGGGATGGGGTGAGTCTATGTCCTTGGGCTCACAGGTCTGTCTTCCCAGGCCCTGGCCTTTGGCTTCTCCTTGCCCACATTCCCAGAGCCTCCCAGGCCTCTGGGCCGACTTCCATCTCCTGTCATCTCTGTAGAAGAAAGACCTTAGATATCTATATATTCTCTGAGGTTGTATATCAGCCTTGTTTTGTTGTTGTTGTTGTTTTTCTTCCTTTTCTGTTTGGGGGACAAGGTCTCAGTGTGGAGCCACGGCTGACCTGGAACTATGGCTAGCCTCAAACTCATGATCTTCCTGCCTCATCCTCCAAGTACTGTGATTGTGGATTGCACCACCACACAGAGCATTAAAGCCTCTTACCTATGTGTCCTTGTCACACCAGTTAGTGTCTCTGTGCATTGGTTCCCAGCTGTCAGGAAAGACAGGAGCAGCTGTCCCACGGGGTTGTTGGAGAGATCAAATATGGCAGTGGTCATAAAGGGTTTCAGACCAATGCATGGCCCTAAGCAGCGCACCAATGCATGGGCCCAAGCAGCGCACCAATGCATGGCCCCTATGCAGTGCTCAGAATGGATTAGTTGTGGCTAGGTGGTAGAGGAGTCAACTAGGCATGGGCCGGGAAACCCGTTGGCCTTAGTGTCAGGGTTCTCGTCCTGCATGGTGCTCTCCAACACAAAAGCCAGTCAGAGAATAGACACCCCTACCTGGACAGGAAAGTGGCAAGGCTCTTGCCTGACTCTGGAGGTCCACCCTCCTAAATAGATGGGGTAGGAGGCAGACTCCAACCCCTGAATTCAGCCCACAGACCTTTCCAAGTGTTCTGGGAGACCAAAGCCGAGTTTCCAGCTTGGGGTGGGGCTTGGGCCCCGGGTGTGTCCCCCTAAGTGGTTGTAACTCTCAGACCAGCTCCCCCTTAGCCCAAGCTCCGCTGCCCTTCTCTGGGAGTGGGGTGAAGCTTTCCCTCCAGTCTTTGATGTCTCTATTTTCCCACCCCTACCCGCTAAGCAGCTGGGCACCCAGGCAGAGAGGGCAGCCATCTTGCTCAGGCCTAGTCCATTGCCATGGCAACCTGGAACCTCCCAGCCCCACTGCATATGCCCCTTTGAAAAATTTATCAGGAAAACTTCCGTGTTTAAAAATTAACTGTGGGATTGAAATATTAAAGATGAGCTGCCTTGGGCAGGCAGAGGGCAATGGGCTGGCGCTGTATGGAAGGGAGCTCTACCCTTCTTCAAAGTGGCACCTGCCCTTGTCCAGCATCAGGGCCCCATGGTCAATTCCCACCTGCTCCATGAGTCTGAGAACCCAAGTCATCCTGTGTAAACTGGGCTTGGGGCCTGCTTCCCTTCCCCTGCCCACCCATAATCTGGGGACCCTTCCGCCTTTCTGTGGAATGTCTGGGGGCTCCCTTCCATTCCAGTGATGATGGGGTGGCCCTGCCAACAGCTCTGAGAACCTAGCATGAGGCCATGATTCTTAAGGAGACTAATCCAGAAGGTAGCCAGAGGACAGAGGGTTCTCGGGACCTGGGTGGAAGGTGGGCTGTGGTCAGGTTGAACAGCTATATCCAGGAAAGGAATGGGCTCTCAGAGTACAAGAACCCCCGAGAGGGGTCTCCTCAGCTGCTGGAGCTTGACTGCCCCTCCCCAAGTATCCTTTGGGGTTCCCCACCCCAACTTCAGGCTGACTCCTCTCTGCCCTTCCCCACGCCAGCCCGTGCACCTGGCCCAGGTGAGTTTCGTCATCCCAGCCTTCAACTCCGACTTCACCCTGGACCTGGAGCTAAACCAGTGAGTGGAGCCTGGAGCCAGAGGGTGGGCAGAGGGCAGCGGGCAGTGGGGCTTGGCTGGCGGAGGGTACTAAGGGACTTGTATTCTTAGCTGGAGTGGGACCTAAGCAGGACCTGGCCTCACCAAGTGACCCTCCTTCCTGCTGTTTCAGCCACCTCCTGTCCTCGCAGTATGTGGAACGGCACTTCAGCCGGGAGGGGACAACTCAGCACAGCACTGTGAGTGACTCTGGAAGGGACCGAGTGGGACCCTTGCTCCATGGTTACGGGTGCCAAGGTGGGGAGGTAGAAGTATGAATCAGAGGGGGTTGGCCTGGCATGTGGGGGGCTTCGATCCTCAGAACCCCCACACAGAGAACTGGGGAGGACCAGGGAGTTGGCTGGTGGAGGTATGTCAAGGGCACACTCAGCATGGCCTGGTGTCTGGGGACCTCCCATCCCTCCCCACCTTAGAGGCTTGGGGGACCAGCAGTTAGAAAGGACAGGTTGACTGGGTGATGTGGGTCCCTGAGCCTCCCCTCATTCAGGCTGAGGTCTGACTTCCCCAGCCTCCTCCCTTGCACGAAGGTGTCATTGGGTCCTTGTTATGCCATGTTAGCTATATCCCCAGAATCTCCTGGGAGGGAGTTTTGGAATGACAACCCCTCCCTTGCTTAGGGAGTGCTGGGGATCAAACCTGGGGCCTTGTGCATCTTAGGCAAGAGCTCCACCCTCCCCTGAGCAGCAGATCAAAATGCCTCCTCTTGCCCTGGGAGTCCCGGATGCCTGCCACACTAGGGTCCCAGTCCTGGAGGCCCTGGAGCTTGAACAAAGATGAATGAGTGTCTATAAATAGCTCCCCCCCCCCCAGCCTGTTCTGGAACTGGAGCACAAGTAATTCCGCAGGAAGCGGAGCTGGGAGAGGCGGGTGTGACTGGTCCCCTCTGACCTATGAGCCGGGTCAGGAGAACCCATGCTGTCATAACCCCTCAGCTGCAGACCACATGTGCCTGGGAGCTCCTGCACCAGGGTTGGGGGTGCATCTACAGCAGGTACTGGTTAAATGACACATTGTATGTGACCGCTCCGCACAGGGCCCGGGGGATGGCAGGTACTATGTAAGAGCCATCTGTTGGTCTCAGAGGAGACTGGGATCCCTCACCAGCCCCAACAAATAGCCAGCCAGGAGCTGCTGCTGTGGCCCAATGTCCTCATTTAAAGGGGTAGACGAAGCTGACCCAGAAAGTGTTAGGAGTTTGTTCACGGTGACAGAGGAATTAGCAGGCCCAGCAGCTTAGAGCTCCTGGTGTTCCTAGTCCCGCGCTTGGCCAGGGTGTCCTCACTCACAGCTCCGCTGCTCCCCAGGGGGCTGGAGACCACTGCTACTACCACGGGAAACTCCGAGGCAACCCAAGTTCCTTCGCTGCTCTCTCCACCTGCCAGGGGCTGCAGTGAGTGTGGCAGGGGAGGCAACGGGCAGCGGGGTGGGGGAGGGCTCTGCCTGGCCCAGGATGGAGCAGAACCTTACCTCTCTCCACAGTGGGGTCTTCTCTGATGGAAACCTGACTTACATCATAGAGCCCAAGGAGATGGCTGGGCCATGGGGACCCCCACAGGTAAGCCAAGCCTGCACAGAACTTCCTGCCCTCCTGATGGCTGTACATGCTGGGACTAACCCCCCCCCCCCACGGCTGTGGTGCCTCCTCCTCCCCTGCAGTAACCTCAGCCTCACTGCCCTGGGTGACCCCAGCTTTGGGTCCTGCCTTCTGTGCCCCCATCTCCAATGTCCCCTCTGTCCCCCAAGTGACCTCTCCCTGGGCTCCAGTGTCCTTTGCCCCTGTCTCTCAGGGCGCCCCCAGGTCTTGACCCTGGAATCTGAGCATCTAGGAGATCAGATCCGACATGGGAGCTCTGGCCAGTTCTGGGTCACCCCAGGGTGGGGTGGGGGAAGGGCTGGAGCTGCCTCCAATCTGGGCCCAGAGCAGACCTGGTTGGCTCCCCAAGAACTCATTCCCCTCATTGCAGGGACCCCTTCCCCACCTCATTTACCGGACCCCTCTCCTCCCAGCCCCCCTCGGATGCAGGGAACCAGGTAAGGGAGGGAAAGGGGGTGGGGCTGGACAGCTGGGCCCCTCTTACCTACTGCTCCCCACAGGCTGCCTGTTTGCTGTCCCTGGCCAGTCTGATCCTCCCACCTGGCCCAGGCTGAGAAGGAAAAGGCAGGTATGGGGCCCGCATAGCCTCGGGCTGCAGAGACCTTAGACTGTGGTCCAGGGCAGGTCATCCCCACCTATGGCTGGGCAAAGGAGACCTCAGAGCCATGGGGCCAGGAGCCAGGGAACTACTTCCCAGAAGGGCTCCTCAACTCCTCCCCATCAGTGGTGTCTACACAGGTCCCCATTTTGGGGACCCTCAGATACTGTATGTCCTCTGCCCTCATTTCCAGGCTGGGAGGGATGGTATTTTCTGCCAGTTAGGGGCTGGCACTGTCCCTGACTGGAGACCAGAATGCCCCCTCCTGACAAGTCTGCCCATGGTTTGGCCTTGAGCCCAGACGTGGAGGGGACTGATTCCAAGTGCCCACCCGCCCTCCAGGTCCGCAGGGGCCACCCCACGGTGCACAGCGAGACCAAGTATGTAGAGCTGATTGTCATCAACGACCACCAGCTGGTAAGTTCCCAGGCTGAGGGGGACCCTGGGAGGAGAGGCCCAGGGGAGCCTCGCCTTCTTCCCCACCTCTCTCGGCAGTTCGAGCAGATGCGGCAGTCAGTGGTCCTCACCAGCAACTTCGCCAAGTCTGTTGTGAACCTGGCAGACGTGGTAAGCAGCACCCCGGCTCCCATCTCCTCTTCCTTCCCCCACCACACAGCCAGACACTCGGGGGTCACTGTCAGTCACTGGCCCCCATTTCTTGAGAATATAGATTGCACCTTCCCTCCAGACCCCCCTCATCTTCTCTCTGGGCCCAGATATACAAGGAGCAGCTCAACACAAGAATTGTGCTGGTTGCCATGGAAACGTGGGCAGATGGCGACAAGATCCAGGTGCAGGAAGACCTACTGGAGACCCTGGCCCGGCTTATGGTCTACCGGCGGGAGGGTCTACCTGAGCCCAGTGATGCCACCCACCTCTTCTCGTGAGTCCCCAACGCGACACCCTGCCAGATTTTGCCAGCTGGCTTGTTCTGACTGCCTGTGTCAGGAGATGTTTGTGGAGTTGGTGTCTGCGGGTGGGGCTTGCCTTGCAACTGACACCTGCTCCCAGCCTCATGTACCAGCTGAGTGTCCTCTGCCTCTTAGGCTGGGCAAGGGATGTGCTCTTTGCCTTTCTCTTGCCAGACTGCCCATTGTCTCTACCTCAGCAACCCAGTACCCTAGTGAGGGACCAGCACAATTTGAGGCCCTCGGACCTCTGATTTGACTTCCGGGTGAATGAACCCAAACAGGAGAGGGGCTGGTGTGAGACCACCAGGCTGATGTGACGGGCTGGGATTCACTGCTACTTCTGCGAAGCCTTCCTGACACCTCTCTCCCTTCTAGGGGTAGAACCTTCCAGAGCACCAGCAGTGGGGCAGCCTACGTGGGGGGCATCTGCTCGCTGTCCCGGGGTGGAGGCGTGAACGAGGTGAGCAGAGGGTCAAGGCTGGGAGGCCAAGAGGGCAGCTTGCTAAGACACAGTGGCGACCGGAAGGATGTTGACATCCTGTGCTCCATCTTCCCCCACTAGTACGGCAACATGGGAGCTATGGCAGTGACCCTGGCCCAGACGCTAGGGCAGAACTTGGGCATGATGTGGAATAAACACCGGAGCTCGGCAGGTACCAACCCTGAAGCCTACAGCCGCGTCAGACACACCCAGCCCCTCCTGAAGTGTAGAGGGGTCAGTGGGAGGGGGGATGTACTCATCCACCCTATCTCATGTGTACCCAAATTACCTCATAGGGGACTGCAAATGTCCAGACATCTGGCTGGGCTGCATCATGGAAGACACTGGGTGAGTTCTTGGGGAAAGACTTGGAGAAGGGTTTTGGGGAGCATTGGCAGTCTGGATAGGTGGTTTCAAGAGGCCCAGCTCAAGAGACCATTCAGGATTCCAAGAATACATATCTGCAAACAGCGTAGGAGGCAAGGACGCCTAAATTGGCTAGACTGCAGCGCGCTCTCTGGCCACTGGGAGGCGCCCGGGCCTCGTGCGAGCTGCGGTCCCTCGGAGCGTTTCCACACTGGGCTCTCTGTCCCAAACGTTCAGTGAAGCGAGCGCCAAGTGGCGTCCTCCAACCATTCCTAGATGGGCATGTGGGATTGACTGTCGTGCAATCACCGGGCAGTTCCTCAGCCTCCTTGTGGTGATAACCAAGTCCCCCACGGGAGGGCTGAAGGGCTGCTCCCCAGCAGCACAGTCTCTTCACACCTGCCCAGGTTCTACTTGCCCCGCAAGTTCTCGCGCTGCAGCATCGACGAATACAATCAGTTTCTGCAGGAGGGAGGCGGGAGCTGCCTGTTCAACAAGCCTCTCAAGGTACCAGCACGGAGAACCGGGAAGCGGGGTGGAGGTGGGGTGGGCAGGGTCCCAGCCAGGCTCCCGACATCCCCTTCCCCTTCATTCAGCTCCTGGACCCTCCCGAGTGTGGGAACGGCTTCGTGGAGGCGGGGGAGGAATGCGACTGTGGTTCGGTGCAGGTGAGCGGTCTGGGCGGTCTCCGGAGTGGACCCGGGCTCTAGGTAGGAAGAGTACCGAGTGGGGAGGATCAAGGATAAGGGCTCGCCCGCCTTTCCGCTTTTCCCCGCTCCTCTCAGGAGTGCAGCCGGGCGGGTGGCAACTGCTGCAAGAAGTGCACCCTGACTCACGACGCCATGTGCAGCGATGGGCTCTGCTGTCGCCGCTGCAAGGTGAGAAGGACCTAGCGGGCACGGGAAGGAGGGTGGGGCCAGGAGCAAAGAAACAATTGGATGCCCTCGACAAGAGGCGGGAGGGAGGAGGAGCAGAGTGTGTGTGGGCGGGGCCTACCCCAAAGGAAGCGTCAATGGAGCAGGGGTTGGGTGGGCCAGGTCTGGGGAGTGATGGGGGAACGCGGGAAGTTACCCTTAGTTGTTGAGGGCGGAGAGGGACAGGAAATAAGAAACTGGACTTGGGAGCCAGGTTCCAGGAGGACAGTAGAATACCCTGGGAGGGCAGCGGCGAGATATTTATCCTTTCCAGAAACACATTCATGCTTTTCCTAGTACGAGCCACGAGGTGTCTCCTGCCGAGAAGCGGTGAATGAGTGTGACATCGCAGAGACCTGCACCGGCGACTCAAGCCAGGTCTGCCAAACCTGTCGTGCAAGACAGCCCCTTCCCCTATAAGTTTGGATTTGAAGAGCTGACTCCTCTCTGCCCCTCTCTGCTTAGCCGCTGGCCACACCGCCGCTAACCAGTCTCAGCGTTTGTTTTTTTTTTTTTGTTTTTTTTTTTTTTTTTTTTTTTTTTTTATCTCTCTCTCTGAGAAGGGGGTCCTTCGAGCATCCTAGCTCTGTTCCTTCGGTCATTAAACAAGCATTTGTAGTCAGGCTGGTACTCGCACTGCCTAGAGCCAGTGTCTAGTGTACGCGAGGGATCCAGTGGGTAGTAACGTTGGTTAATTAAATCTCAGGCCTTCAGGGTAATGGGTGCAAGAATCTGAAGAAGCCGGTAAAAGCCTAGGGATTTACCAGTCAAATCCTCAGGCCCCTGTCCTTGATGTGGAAGAGCCTTGCAACACGAGGCCCCTTTGGGAAGAATTTGCTCCCTACATTCTTCCCCTGGTACCTCAGATAGCTCAGGCTTGGGCTACCCTGCTCAGCCAGCCCCTCTCTCTACAGTGTCCCCCTAACCTTCACAAGCTGGATGGCTACTACTGTGATCATGAACAGGTATGAGGGATGGGGGTCCCACCCGGGGGAGGGGGTCCTTCCATCTGAACTCTGCAGCCTCGTCTCCACTCTGATCCTCCAGTGTCTTCACACTTTGTCTCCTATGGGTCCTAGGGCCGTTGCTATGGAGGCCGCTGTAAAACCCGGGACCGGCAGTGCCAAGCCCTTTGGGGTCATGGTGAGTCCAGCTGGGTACGGGATACAAAGGCTGGGGGGGGAACCTAGAATTGAGAGCTGAGCTGGGGTCGCTTCTGGTTGAACATGTGTGACTTCTGAGGACCTTGGGCATCAAGCCCAGGGATCCGTGGGGTGATGGATGCTTCCTCTCGCTTTCTCTAGCGGCTGCAGATCGTTTCTGCTATGAGAAGCTGAACGTGGAGGGGACAGAGCGTGGGAACTGTGGGCGCAAGGGATACGGCTGGGTCCAGTGCAATAAGCAGTGAGTAGCCATCTGTGTGGGGCATCCTGGAGCTGGGCTCAGGGGATCTACAGAGGTGGAGGCTGCTCTAGGGAGAGCCCATGAGGCCCAGAGGGGGAGGGAACACAGGTCTGAGGCAAAATCTGGGCTCATTGTCCAACAGGGATGTGCTCTGTGGCTTCCTTCTCTGCGTCAACATCTCTGGAGCTCCTCGGCTAGGGGACCTGGGGGGAGACATCAGCAGCGTCACCTTCTACCACCAGGGCAAGGAGCTGGACTGCAGGTGTTGTCTGGGCCTTGGCTGGGAAGATGAAGTGTGAGGGGGACTAGGGGACTGGGCTTGAGACTGGCTCTCCCGTCTCTCCAGGGGCGGTCATGTACAGCTAGCCGATGGCTCAGACCTGAGCTACGTAGAGGACGGCACAGCCTGCGGGCCCAATATGCTGTGCCTTGACCATCGCTGCCTGCCAGCCTCTGCCTTCAACTTCAGCACCTGCCCGGGCAGCGGGGAACGGCGCATCTGCTCCCACCACGGGGTGGGTGTCTGAAGGCCAGGGGTAGCAAGCTGGAGGAGGCTTACGCAGGGACGCAGGGACACGGCCTTGCTTACCTGTGCTGGCCCCACCTCGCCTGTAGGTTTGCAGCAACGAAGGGAAGTGCATTTGTCAGGCAGACTGGACGGGCAAAGACTGCAGCATCCACAACCCTCTGCCCACATCCCCTCCAACCGGGGAGACCGAGAGATATAAAGGTGAGGCTGAAGCCGGCTGGTGTGCTCCGTCGCCCATTTTCCGTGCCTGTCCCTGCCAACCAAGCCCTGCCCTCCTCCCCAGGTCCCAGCGGCACCAACATCATCATTGGCTCCATCGCCGGGGCTGTCCTGGTCGCAGCCATCGTCCTGGGCGGCACGGGCTGGGGATTTAAGTAAGAGACACATACTCCCTAGATTCCCCTCCAGGTGCTTGGGGGTTCAGCACCCCAGACTGTTGGAGTCTAATGGCCTCCGTGACCGGTTAGCTTACCCAGAACTTAACACATCAGCCCACAGGGACTTGTTTGAACAGTTAACCACCAGATTTTACAGTAACTTCTGAGGTGGGTAGGGTCTGTCTGAGATGTCTCCCAGTCCCTATCCACATTCAGCCCATGAACTCCAGGACATTGCTGTTAGGGTCTGCTCTAGACCCCATACTGGGCACCTGAAGAACCCTGAGGCCCAAGGTCATGGTGCGACTTAGTGACAGAGCCAGGACCTGAACCCTCCACCAATCTGGATAGATCTGCATGGTCCATTTGTGGGGCAGAAGGTCTTCCTGGGATAGAAGGCCATTCCTTCAGAGAACAGGAGGTTCACACAACTTTTCCTCTCTCTCTCTACCCCTTCTCCCCCACCCAACCACCCCCCCCCCCCCCCCCCCCCCCCCCCCCCCCCCCCCCCCCCCCCCCCCCCACCTCCCGCCTGTCCTCTCTTTGGCAACTGAAGAAACATCAATCGCGGAAGGTACGACCCGACCCAGCAGGGGGCAGTGTGATGCCGGCCACGTCATCCCTTCCGCTGTCCTTGTCTCCATTCCATCCGTCCCCTTGCATTCTGTTGACCTGGAGCTGGGATGGTCCGAGTCCCGCAGCCCGGCGGGCAGCCTGCGCCCCGGCCCTTCCTCCTGCCCACCCGCCTGTTGGGCCCTGGTCCACCTTCAGCTGTCCTTTCTACAGCCAGGTCCCATGGCCGGGTGGGCGCTGGAACTGTGCCCCCGCCACCCCTGCCCCTAGGAGCGGGTCTCCCTCTGCGTCCTGTCCCATCTGTTTTGTCTACCATGCCACCGCTGTCTGACCTCTGCAGACCCCCTCCCGGCCAGTCTGTGACTTGATGCCTCCAGGACCAATGGGGAGGAGGGGCGGGGCATCTGGAGGGCTCTCCCTCAGGGCCCAGCCTCCTGTACTCTCCTGATGCCCTCTCTCCATTCCAGGTCCGGAGGGGCCTAAGTGCCACCCTGCTCCCTCCGAGCCTGGCACCTACCGTCTCGGCCCTGAACCACGAGGCTGCCTCCACCCTGCCACAGAGGGAGGCACCATGCAAAAATGTCTTCCAGGTCCAAACCCTTCAACTCCTGGCTGCACAGGGGTTGGGGGTTGGGACAGTGGCCCCATCTTTCAGACCACCCGGGGGGAGGGGCCTGGAGGAGGGCACTTCCTGCCCAGTTCCCCACCCCGCCTCATGCGGCTTTGGCCTTGCCCAGGTCTCCCCCTGTGAATGTAGCGTCCATCGTCACAGACCGCCACAGCTCAGGGTGGGGCCTGGAGCCGTGCCTGGTGGGGCCAGGTAGCCACCAGTGGACACAGCTGGGTGACCCCTCTTCAAAAGCGGGCAGCTGGAACCAGGGTGGTAGTTCTCTGGGACCTCAAGGGAAGGAGCTGATCTACACATTTTTCTCTTTCTTTTCTTTTCTTCCCCCCCCCCCCCAATGGATTTTATCTGATGAATGTAACCTTGGGGTTGCTGGGGCCAGGGGCAGTTGTAGGGATGTTCTGACACTTACAGGAGGGCCTGGAAGGCCTGAGGCCTTGTGACCTCCCAGCTCCCTCTCTGGGGGGCCCACACTGGAACCCAGCAGGGGCTGAGCAGCCCTGTGTGCCCCGCCTCCACCCAGCTTAGAAGAAGTCAGAGTGCTGATTCAAACCAAAGCTGCCTGTTCTGTGCCCACTGCCTAGTTCATGGGTGCCGGGACCCTCTGTCCCGGACTGTCTTTGATTCCAAACCAACCGTCCTGTCCCTGCCAGGGTGCATGCATTTGGGGGTATAGAAAATATAGTCCCTAAAATAAAATGGCACCTTTCCCCTTTCAAGAAGGGTGATTCTGGGGCTGTCTCAGGGTTCAAGTGCCCCCTGATGTGGCCTGGCTGTTCCAGAGCAGGCTAGCTCCCACGGAGAACTTGGGGAGACCTGGTGCCCCCAGGGTCGGTGCCTGTGATAGAGAAGACTGAAGGCTGACTACAGGCTGTTAGGGAAGTCTTCACAGTCCCCTGCTCAAAGCCTTTACTCACAGGCTGAGTAGTAAGTTTACAGAAGTTCCCCTGTCTGTCCTCATCTGGTCCTAGCTGCAGCCCAGCCTGAGAGCTAGGCCAAGGCTGGCAGAAGTGCTCAGCCCTCCCACGCAGTCTGTTGTGGCCTGCCTTCAGGACCCCATGTGGGACGGAAGAGCTCTGGCCTCTTGCCCTTAAAGCCAGCTGGACAGGCAGGACAGAGCAGGCTCCCTTATGGATGAAAGCCACAAATGAAAGGAGCCCCCTTCTTGGGGACACCCCACTCAGGCTAAGTAGTGGCTCTGGATACCCCAGGGCCAGAGAGTTACCCGTTTGTGTTCACTCTGTTTCTGAGGCCTCTTTGAGGAAGGCTCATGGGAAAAAAACAAAAAAGGCTTCATTTCTCTAGACCGCCCCAGCGGCACCCTGGAGCCTAGGACCCGTTCGTTGGTAGCCTTTGGGATGGCCAGATGGTGTCGGTTACAGTGGGGTCCTCAGCACTGAGCCCCAGCTGGCACTGTCCTGGGACAATAAGACAGACTGAGGCCACCAGCCCCACTAGGGAAAAGGCTGGATTTTGCATTGTTGCTAGAATGCCTTGCGACCTCCGTTAGGTGACACACCTGCACACAGATGGCAGTGCACCTGGGCACAGGCATGTGGACCTACACCCCTGTACCACTGTGAAGGCCTCTGCATACAAGGGCATGACCACATGTGTCTGCGTGTCCTTGGTGGGGACATGAAGCACACAAGACTCCCGTGATCTGTCCCACCCCAGCAGCGCCTGGCCTGGCAGCACCCAGGAGGAAATGGGGGGAGGGGGGCTGCATTCACCTGGCCTGGACCTGGGTTCCTACACATCCTGTAAATATGTCATCTGGGCTGGGGTGGGGAGACAGGGCCAGGGGCCCACATTAAAGATCACATTCTGGGCTTCCGTGGAGCTCACACCGACCCGTGTCTCTCCTCTCTGTAAGTGACCGTTTCCAGTCAATCAACCCTCTCCACACAGACTCTGGAGTGTGACAGTTCCAGTGCTGGGGACAGAACAGCACCTAGGCCAGGGAGGGAAGTAGAAGGAAGGGGTGTGGTTTCCCTCCATCAGTGAGGAAGCTGGCAGTGGGTGGAGCTAGATCCTCCCTTCCTCGCTGTCCCAGCAATGACACAGTACCCCTCTGCTTTCCAACAAGCAAAATTAGAGATGAAGGGGTGAGGGGTGGGGGGTCCAGGGCCACAGACAATGGGACTTAATTCCTTACTTATGGAAGCCAGAGAAGCCTCTGACGTATCTGACACTTATCTTTGTCCCATTGAGCCTGGCTGGGTAACACTGGCTCAATGGCACCATCACTGGCTAAAAAACCAAGTGTGAAGCTGAAGCCGCTGCTGTAACCCCACTCTGGAGGCAGACAGACTGGGAAAAGGGCGTGGAGGGCAGAGCCACTGCAGAGCCACTACTGGGAGGGCAGAGGTTCCAGGAAGGAGTTAGGGGAGGGGGGGAATAAAGAGGGGAGGACAGAGGAGAAAATGCAGCAGGCATGGGGATGCAGGAACTGGCACTGGTCCAGAACTGTAGCCACCTGGGCACAGGGCTACATCCAATCTAGACCCCTGCTGGTCCTCTGGGCTCTGGCATCCCAGATCCCAGGGTAGAGGAAATCTAATGTGTCTCTAGAGGCCCATGGCGGCTTCTTCTCATTCAGGGCCCTGAAGAGAGGCACAAGTCATTCTCAACCTGTCTGTCAGTCATCCACCACAGCCGAGGCTTGCCCCATTTCCTTGCTCTGGGCTGGATCATCCTATTTTTAACTTTCTCCAGCACTCCTGTCTCTCAGATCCTCTGTCTCCCTGCTTAGCCCCTTCTCAGTTCCCGGCTTCTGTTGGCTGGGCCCCATCACTGGCCCCAAAGGTAGTGAGGAGTGTGGCAGCTGGCAGACAGATGGTCAGGGCAGGCAAAGGGCACGAGCACCCCACTCTGAAAACCAGCAGGGTCACCACCTGGTCTACACAGTGAGTTCCAGGTCAGCCAGAGCTACATAGCGGGACCCTGTCCCAAAGAACCAAAAACCAAGATACGATCCTTTGTTTGGGCCGCCTCCTTCCCGCACTGCCCCTGCCTCTGCATCCTCCAGCTAGTCAGCGCTCCTCAGTCAGGGATTCTGGGTGAGCCCTGGGCGTGGAGTTTCACTGTGGGTCCCAGTTATGTCTTCTCTGGCTAGCAGTGTTCCCTCACCAGGTGCAGGAGGTCAGGGTAGAGGCTGGGGTCAGGTGGCTTCTCTTACCCCACCAGCACCGAGTTCTCCGCTGATCTAAAAGAACCAGGCATCCATCACAGCTCATCCAGTGTCTAGAACAGGACAGAGCCCCTCCTGTCCCCAAGGACAGGATTCGGGCCACACAGACAAGATGCATACATATTTTAAAACTTTCGTGCAGACTATTTTAAAAGAAACGGGAAAAGATTAGCGATTTTATTCAGCCCAGTCTACCTAAACTACCCTCATTTCAATACATAAAAAAACTCAACAGATAACAACCCGGGACCGCTAGGTGGACGCTCTGCCCTCAGCCACATCTCTGTGCCAAGATGTTACATTCCTTTTCCTGAGCCTTTAAAAAGAAGAGGGGAGTGGGGAGGAGAGAAACAATCGGAAAGCATTTTCTTAGAGTTTCTATTGCTGACCAAAGAGTTGGGAAGTTGGGGAGAAAGGGGTTCATAGTCGAAGGGAGTCAGAACAGGAACCCAAGCAGGGCAGGGGCCTGGAGGCAAGAGCTGAACCAGAGACCATGGACCACAGTCCAGGGATGGTAGCACCCCCAATGGCCCGGTTCTCCTCCATCAATCACTAATTAAGAAAATGCCCTACAGGCTTGCCTACTGCCTAGTCTTAAGGGGCATTTTCTTAACTGAGGTTTCCTCCTCTCAGATGACTTTAGCTTGCATCAAGTAGACATAAAACTAGCCAGCCCATATCCAGAGATCTCGTCTACATTTGAAGCATGTCTAAGTTTGAACTAACCACATTCCAAGTACCCAGTGACCTTTGGGCGGCCACTGACACCTTGAAGGAGCGATCTGGAAACCCAGAAATTGTGAAATCAGATACAGAGCAGGACAGACGTGGATCAGCTGGACGTACGAGGACTTGTGTGCACCATCCTTGCTAGAAGGCAAGAGGAGAGCTAAAGAAGAGTGTGGTGGCTCACACCTGTGAGCACGCTGGAGGCCGAGACAGGAAGCTGGCAAATCCAAGGACACACAGTGAAACCATTTCAGAAGAAAGAGAAGAGCAGGATCTCACCAGCAGAGAGAGACCTAAATCTACCCGGTCCCTAGAGCGTTCTGTGATGAAGTAAGATTGTCCAGCCTTTCCAGGGCAGAAGACAGATTGGCGTGGCTGGGGCCTAGACCCTGGCAAGCTCTAGCCAAACCCAGGGCGATCTAACAGGCCTCGGCTCCTTAGCCACTCCAGTGTTCAAAGTAAATTATGAGGGGAATAAACACTCGGCAGTGCCAGGGCCTGAGTTATGGCTGTCATGTTCTTTTAGAGATCTCAGCTCTATCCAGGGAAATGCCCTGAATCGGGCCCTCGCCATCAGGAGTTCCATCCCCTTCAGGGAGGCGATGGGTTTATGTAAAGCCAGGGAGGATGTCTTCCAAGCAGAACACGGGACAGTCTTCCACTAGGTCACACACTACATTCTAGGTCGGTCTTCAGGGTGAACTGCCACCTGGTTACCTGGAATGCTGGTGGAACACCTCCACGAGGGAGCGTTAGCTTCTAGGGGTCTCTAGAGCACATCCTAGCTGTCCTCCAATCCCGAACAACGTTATGCACAGGGTCCCTCTGGCCACAGAGAGAGTGGCACCCCTAGGAGAGGGGACATTAACAGTCCTCACGGCCTGGGTCTGTGTTATTTCAGAAGGCCGCTGGCTTTCAGGTCCCAGTTCTCTGACCAGCACCGGCCAGCAGGTGAACTGGGCTCTATCCCTCTCAGGATGCCCAATCCCTCTGGCAGGGTCCTGTCTCCTGGGCAGCTCCAGGCCTCCTGACAAGCGTCTGAGAGGCTGCCTGCCGACCTCAGTTCTCCCCGAGAGAATGTAATGTAACGTTAGCAGCGCCAGTGCCCACTTGGGTTTAAAATAAACTTGCTATCTCCCTTTCCTTCAGCTGACCCCAGCAGCTCCCCACCCGAGCCCAGCTGACTCTGAAAATGAGATAGCCCCATCATTCCAGGGGCGGCTGAGACAATAGTGCTGGACACAGTGAGCGCACTAGGAAGCTGGTAGAGAGAGTCACCGCTGTGGGTGAAGAGGGGTTCTGGGAGGCAGGGCTGTTTCTCTGAGGGAAATGTGGCCTCAGTCAGGCTGGGGCTGATGTGACCCCAAAAGCAGATCATCACAGAGTGCCTCTCCTTGCTCCGTGCCTTGGTTCTCAGGACTTCATGTCACTTCCTCTCATCCAGAAGACATTGCTCCTGCTCTTCGTAGCCCCAAAACTCCGCACCCACCTTTTAACTTACTGTGATGTTGAAGATTCGCTTGGCAGGCGCTCGACATGGGACCCCTCTGCGTATCCCCTCCCACTGACACTCCGCCATCCCCTCTTTGAGCCCCAGCCCCTTTTCCCATCTTAGGGCACCATTCTGCCATTTTGTGGCTCTTTCTCTTTATTAGCTGCCAGCAACAACCCCCTCGCCTCCCCCCGCCAATCATGGTTCCCAAATTACCTCTAGCTTCTAATTCTTTCCATAACTCTAGGCCTTGCTGTCCAAAAAAAAAAAAAAAAAAAGCAAAAACCACCATGCTGGGCAGAGTGGCTTGTAATTCTCCAGCATTCGGGAGGTAAAGACAGGAAGATTGGGAGCGCATGGTCATTTTCACGCTACATAGTGAAGTTGAAGCAAGTCTGTCTCAAAAACAAAGCACAAATCCCTCCCAGATCAACATCCTCAAAGTCCAGCCTTCCCCGGAATCCAGGTCCTCACAGGCAGTTCCTTACCACCCACCCAAGTCAGGGAGCAAACCTGGGGCTGTCAACTCCAAAGCCACTTCCTCCCTCCCAGCATCTGGCTTGTGACACCAGCCAGCTCTGCTCATCCAGCGGGGCAACCACAGCACCTCTTGTACCCAGGGCTCTGACACTGCCTCTTCCCTCCTCCAGCTCATCCAGGCCCATCTTTCCTTGCAGACTGCAACCCGAGGCATTTCTCTCCGCTCTTTGAAGGTTCGCATCCGGGGAACTTTCCTCATATTTAAACTAGAGCTTCCTTTTGTCTCATCCCTACCCACTAGGCTGCACTACTGTCTCTAGATGCAGGGGTCTGGGCTCTGCCTTCCTGTAGCACTTCCTCTTTATCAGCTGCCAGTAACACCACCCGCCCCAATCTTGGTTAAAACAAGCGGAGCGGTCATGGGGCAGACAGAGAACCAAGGAGAGGTGCGCAATGGGACATGGGATCTGACTGGCTCCCAGACACCCTAACTAGGCTTTAGTCTGGAACTGGAGTGAGTTCTGGGGTGTGTTAGAGCAAAACACGTCAATCCCGGACATCCTCCAAGCAAGTCATGAGCACTGTGGGGGCAATTTCTCATTTCACGATAGCAACAAATGCTGCCAGCAAAGCTGGGGCCTGTTCCCTGTCCCACCTTCCCTACTTGCTAGCTCTCCTCCTCGCCCTTCATCTGTCCTGTGTCACGTGGTGTCCTATTCAGAAAGCCAGGGAACCCCCACGCCAAGTGGCTGTGTGCTGCTGGCCAGCCCCGCGCAGCATCTCGGGAGTCCCTGATGACCACCAGACACATAGGGCTATGGCCACCCCCACTCCATAGGTAATAAAACCCCTGGAGCCTACCCGATGTGCTGCCGGCAACGCCCCTGTTTGTGCCACAC